TTGCTTGCGGCTTGCAGGACCCAGAGCAACGTGGACGTGGCGAGGACGCCTTTCCAGCTCCAGAGCGAGTCGGCGTCCTACGTGATGCTCTCGGACTTATTCCGGCAGCTCCAGAGAAGATGATCCCCTTGTAAGTTTTGCTCGTGATCACTTTTTGGTTCACAGAAAAAATGTCTAAGATCAGTCATGGATCGAAGGTACGAATGCTGTGTAAAAATCTCTTTTTTTCTCTGTTCATACAAAAGCATTTCCCATTCCAGACTAGCTACGCTGTGCTCGAAGGAGCAGTGAATTCACATCATGGCAGCGCGAAAGATCTTTCAGCTAAGGTCAGTGATGAGATCTCGAGCTTCTCTCGCGAGAATGCGAGCGTTCATCCCTGTGCCTTCGCTCGTGGTGTCTCCCGTGCCTCTTGTGTTCCTCTCTTCTCCTTTTATCGTCTTTTCTATGGCGGTCTTCTTCCGTTTGTTCTTCGTGACGCGGTCTCTTGTCGTGCCGGTCCCGGGCTTCTGATTTTCTACGTGGAAGAGGAGGCACCTGACAAAGAAACCACCATCACTCGCGCTTCGAGAATAGATGGCTCTAGCGTACCTGATACCGCGACATATAGTTCGATGGCTCTGGAATTCCCAGTTTCTTCAGCTCCTCGCGAGGGATATTTTCGCGTCTGCAAGATAGAAAAGGAAGTGGTTATTGACGCAAGAAGCAAATCCCGGTGACTTACAGCGGAGCACGAAATGGACGATCGCGACCGCCAAATCGTAGTTGCCCGGATTCCTTTTTGCCTCCTAAGCCTCCTCCTGCAAGGATGGACAATATCAGAACGAGAGAAAATGTAATTGTTGATATTTTTTCTCAAACTCACCAAGTCTGCGCGGTATCCATCCACGCATAAGCTGCTGCCGATTGTAGTCGACGATGATCTGGTTCCCATCAATGGTGATATTGTGGGCTGCCTGGAGAAAGGAGAAAAAGAAGCAAGATGGAATCAATCACTGAAACAAAAAAACCAAATAAAAACGAGAAGTTCCACCTCGTAGGCATGTAAGAAATCCTTTTCGTTCTCAAACTCTACAAAGGCATAGCCCCGAGAAGCTCCGGTAACTGCATTCTTGTAAAACACCTCGTCTCTTTCATGGGATCGAACTCACCAATATGGCGGACAAGTCTCATGCTTTTAACAGTCCCATATTTGCTCATCACCTGCAAAGGAAGATCAAATAACTCGTGAAGCACAAATGCTCAAGGTGTAGAAAAGACTCGCCTCTCGGAGAGTTTCTTCGGTGGTGTCACGAGACAATCGCCCAACAAACAGAGTACGATAGGGATCTCCCAGAGCTTTGGCGTCGCCAGTAGGATCATCTGCGTGAAAAACACTTCCGCATCAAGAGAGGCGGGAGAGAAAATAAGTTAAAGTACTCACAGAGGCCAGTGGTCCTGGCGATCATAGCCCGGTAGATGCCATTGTCGTGAGGGACAATGTCCGTGCCATCGATGCTGCCAGCCTGAATGGGATGATACACAGTCGCGTAGAACACCTCGCTCGTCCGTGGCGCCATTGCGCCCAGCCCTAAAATCCACTCTGGAATTTGTGGAAAACCCTCTTCAAGTGTACCATCGAGAAAGGCTCTGTGATGCAAAGAGCAAGCCATGCTAGCAAGCAAGAGACCATGGCGACAGATGTGGCTGTAATAGCCACATTGGATGAAATAGCACCTGATTAGTGATGTAAAATTTTATTTTTATTATAAATCACTTTTTTCTTACTTGATTTTCATTAGTACAACATGACAGAAAGATATTCTTATCTAAGACTAGAGAAATGCTAAGTTGGTTTTTACCAGTGCTGGGATTTTAAAGCACACAGCTTATCATGCAATTGAAACCGCATGTGTAGGTAATTACCCTGCATTACTATTGAAGCAAGGAGAAGATCTCTTCCACTCCAAGCAGGGCATAGAAGGGGATGGCACTCTGTGATGGCCTCTTTTCCTGCTATAACTATTTTGTTCTTGCGTTTCAGCTGAGAAAAAACAATTCGTGCTTCACTATCAAATCAAGAGGAGCTGCTGTTAGCGGTGATCGAAGCTGGTGTGGAGCTCCTCACCATCCTCGGAGCACCAAAAATCCCCAGTGCAATTTTGCGGTGACTGAGACGTCTTACTCTGTCAATGAAATTGGATGGGGCTATGTGATGGCCTGTTTTCATGCTTCACTATTTCAGTCTTGCGTCTTGTCCGTGCTTCGTTATTAAATCAAGAGGAGCTGGTGAGGTTGTCGAAGCTTGCTCTCCATCCTCGGAGCAAGGAAATCACTAGTATTAGTATGTATGTCACAGGGGCTATCTTTTGGTCGACCCGGAAGCAATCAAATTTCAAAAGTGGAAGCATTTTTCACAATTGGCCTTCAAGCTTTCTTCCTATTATCGCATGGAGGCTATAGAGCTATACTGGCATGTTTCCATGCAGCGTAACTCAAGAGAAGTGCATAACACAAGACAAGAGAAAAACCAGGCAAAACTCAACGTCACTGCATGCTGTTTCTTGGCAGAGAGAAATTGTACTCTTCCCAGATGATGCCTCAGACTTCCTCAACACAACCAAGCATGAAAAGTGTGATATTTCCTTCTTCTTTCCCATGAGCATACTATTGCTCAGTGTCTGTCTAGCATTGGCCGGAGCAAACGTCAAGAAAATATTTCTCAAAACCATGTATTCTAAAAAGCTCACCCGGGTGAAATTTAACAGTTCTAGAAGGTCGGGCAATAGAGTTTTATGGGTGTATACAAAAGTAAAAAATGCTTTTAAATGAGAATAAAATGATATAATAAAATTATTGTATTATATATCTAAAAGTAATTAAATTAGTATACAAATTCTGGGTGTATATAAAAGTAAAAATGCTCTGACTTTTATGTATTTTTCTATAAAGTTATAAAAAAAATCTTTTGTGTAAGTTTTATGTTTGGACTTTGCAAATTTTTTAGTTTGCTTAAGCAAAAACTGTATGGTAGTGGATATACCTAGAATATGCTTGGTTAAAGTTATTGTATACAATATGTAGAAAAAATATAAAGTAATATAAAAAATTTACAATCTTATTAAGAATTCTTAATTGAGCAAAGGAATGGTGCCAAGCAACACCCTTAGATCCAAAGTAAAAGAGATCTTAGCAAAATTTCTATGGAGTATGGCAGAAAAGTTTAGTGCTACCTGGCTGTGTCTCCAATGTTCATGCCCACTCGAACCACCAGAGCTTAGGGACTCATCAAATCTCAATCTTTTTGTTTTAGTGAGAAGGTGTTGGATCTCTTTGAAAGCCTGAAAGAGAAAAACTCATTTTGAATGGAAACTTTATAAAATCTTGCTCAATCTTCCATGTGGAACACTCGATTGAGATATTCACAAGAAAACTTTGGAACTCTGAGATAGAATCAAGAGCTAGTAAATCCTAGTCTGATACAACTCCAGTGGGAAAGATGGTTTTTCAGATCATTTTCAAAAGACACAAAGTCAATCTAGATGAGCTTAATAAGGTTGAATTTGGATTGATTTGAACGATCAAAACATGAGGGAATGGTTGGCAGGCCTGAAGTGCCTGCTGCTGAGAAGCTGGCCGAGATCATCCACACTCCCTTCAAAATTCAGCAGAAAAACCACTTCAAAACGTTTACAGTAGTCTTTGCACATAATAAAATATCCATCTGTAGGAAACCACCAAAACATTCTATGCTAGCAAGGCGTCCTGGTGACTCTGGTCGTCTCTAGGTTTGTTTATCACATGCAGTCCCAGTCCAAAGAAGTATAATTCACAATAATCAAATGAAGAATTACAAAACCTGAGAAAGAATTGGAAAGATTCTTGCAATGTCCTCTTTAGAACATGGATGAATCAGAAAGTTATTTCGGATACTATGAGAGGAGCTCGAAAAACACGACCAACCCACCGCAGCTAGAAGAAGGCAGAGATGGGGAATTCAGGATGGAGGCGGGAGCCATTGCATGACAGGGCAAAAGATAGAGCAGGTTGTGTTTTCTTATCCCTGTGGACAACATCAACACTATTAGGTCAACGGACCAGCTGATTGTAGGAACTTGGGTCTTCCAGAGCTGCTTCTGGCATAAACACACGCTAGAGAAAAATTAACAACTAACCTGACATCTGTTGGCAGTTTGCAAATTGTACATCCTAAACTTATGTAATCCTAAACAGGGATTTAGCTTACCGCCTTAAAAACTGGAGAAAAAAACTAAATTACACATGATAAACGCGCATACGGAATAATCGCGTCGTACGGACGGGAGAAGAAAGGTGAAGTGTTTGATGATTGCCCTTTGCTGGGCTTTGGCATTGTGAGAACTCTTTCCAGAAATATTGATGCTCCAGTCTACACAGAAACTACTGACAAATGGATGTTTATATCTTTTATACGTTTGTATACATGTAAATTTACCCTTAAAAATATGACCAGCTTAGTAATGTAAATGGTACCTTGAAAAGAACCAACATTTTCAAGATACCAGTTTGTATCGTCCTGTCTGCCGGTGCCACTCAAGGTTGCCGGATATAATATGAGACAAGCCTTCCAGGTAAGCCTCCATTGCACCATTGTAGCAGCTTGATCTTCTGATATTCTCACACAGCTTCTTGAATCGATGCTCGATACTCTGCACCAGTTTGTGAACTTTGTCGGCTGCATACTCGAAAGAAAAGCCCTTTGAATCCGAATTGCCGCACATGATCGTGTGGACGATATTGAACTGAGTATCGCCAGTTGCACTGTCCACCAGGAAGCAAAACAAGTCGTTGACACAACTTACGTGGTCTGCAACCAGACTTTCAGCCTCTTGGAGGTCCTGATTTGAAATGGCGTCGTCCTGGAGTTCGAATCCCATGCCATACTCCATTAGAGTTTCCATAACAAATACACCAACTAACACGCGACGGTGAGCCAGCAGCTCCTCCAAGCCCATCACCGTTTTCAGATTCCTTAGCTTCACCTGATTCACGCTTGCCTCCAACAGCTCGGACACTCTGTTGGCAAATCGCTGGTACTGCTTGAGTGGCATATCTGCACGCAGATCATTCCACATATCACAGAACCGTGGAAATTCCATATCTGCCACGCACGGATTATGCCAAGGTAGCTATCAACAAGCCTCTTGGCACCTCCCGAGTCAGCTCCCAGGCCCTGCAAGTCGTCAAGGATATCATCAACATGGAAGCACCAACAGGCAAGCTTGCACATATTCTCAATTCTGGCATCATCAGCAACAGGGATCAACATGCAAGTGGCTAGAACTCTTTTCTCAGCAACAAGGCATTTCCTACTTTTGGGGTTCCCTTCACCATGCCCAGGCTCCAAAGTTGCAGCCCAATCTTCCAAGCGTGGACGAATGAAAGAATACAGAGGGTGGCACTTCACAGGGAACGAACACTGCACATTTGGAACGAAATCGTAGGGAGCCATTGGAAACCACACAACAAGCAAGCTCAAAATGCACTCGCAAATGGACACTGGATTTTCCTGAACTTTCCATCTTCACAGACCTCCTCTTTATAATATCGTAGGTAGCCGGACTGTTGTTTGGATGGTGAGGTCCTTCCAAAGTCTTAGTGCTGGAGGACATGTACTCCGTCCAGTACACTTTGTGTTAAAAGTAGAGGTTCTAACTTCACGGCAATTGGCCCAGTACTATTGTGGTGAAGTTCGAACCTCTACTTTTAGCACAAAGTGGCTATTTCGTCTTATGCGGAACAATTTCTGGCCAATTTCTGTGAAATTCGAACCTCTAGTTTTAGCACAAAGTGGTCCAGGACTTTATTGGGTAGGTAGGAAACATGAAAAATATAAACATCGTTGAAAGGAATGTATGGCTCTTAGAGGTAGACATGGCAACTTTAGGAGTCACGTAAGTCCAGAGTGGTTATGTGGTTTAGGTTAACCTTAATAGAAACAATTGAAAGTAGAAAAGTTGGTGGAGCATTTAATATCTAAAATGATTGTTGCGCTTGAAATTATTTTAAATAAGAACATATTTTATAAATGCGTGGGTGGGATATGACTAATACCAAAATCATGTTCTTATATTTTATTTTATTTGCCTACCAGTTGGAAAACAATTATATAAATTATTTGGACATTTATTTAAGAAAAAAGAATATTTTTTAGGGATAAAAAAACTTAGGTTTGAATAATATAAAAAACCATTGATAAAGTAAGTTTCACTATAAAGGATGAAAAAACTTCTCCTATAAATTTCATTAAACACAATTTGTTATGTGATGTTAATGATTGTAATTTTTCTCTCTATGAATGCCTGTCAATTGATAATGACCATAAAATGTTTTATCCTGTTTTTCTTCTCATTCACTCTTTAAGTTTTTTATTGGTTTGCTTAAGCAAATCTGTAGATGGTAATGAATATGCCTGGAATATGCTTGAATATTCTAGGATATTCTACCATCTAACGGTTGTTATTCATTGATTAATTTGTATTTATAATTTATAAATTTTTCTAAACACTTTCTAGCATATTTTACCATCTAATGGTTGATATTCAATAAGATTAATATTGTGTTTATAAATTATAAATATGTTTAAAATTATAAACTTCCATTTGATTAATTGAGTTAATAAATAAGATTAAGCAAACCAAGCATTAACATGCACAATTTTTATTTATTTATTATTTTTTATTTAGATAATTTGTTGATCCTTAGATATTTCCATTGTTTTTGTGATACTTTTTCTTTAAAAATGCATATCAATAGAAAAATTATTATCACCAAAAATCATGATAAGTTGATGCAGGATATATAATATTGATCTTCTTTTATATGAAAGATTGGTATTTCAAGTGTTTTTTCAGATTCTTTTTGTTATTCTTTAATTCTCGAGAAAGCAGTGATACAATTCCCAGTATTACAATGCCTTCTACATAATCATTCATTGATGCAACAATCTATCACAATAAGGAGGAGTTGCCGAACTTTCTGGGCTGTCGGATCCAGCCAATCACAACTGTCCGATGGGGGGTAACTATAAAGGGGTTATTTCTTTAACCACGTGTTTGCAAATAATCGCGCTGATGTTTGTTCCCAGCCAATGGGAGGCGGCCAAGCTGCGTGGGGCAGGAGAGGAAGGCACTGCAACATGTGTCATATGTAAATGTATTGACTGTGACTACACTCATCATCTGGGCATCCGGAACGCAGTGTTCATTGGCCATGGCAACAGAGTCTTCGGTGTGGAGATGTTTAAGATCTTCAGGTAGGTGCTGGATTTCATGATAGTGTGACAGTTCGGAAAAGTTTTAGATGTGGTGACCAAGTATCTTTCTCTCTATTTCTTTTATCCGTTTTGACAATGAATGTAAGTGCATTTTGCACTCCTCCAGGTACTAAGCTTGCCCTACAGTAGCATTGCTCGAGCAAGAGGGCTGTAGAAAGAAAAACTATAACCAGGTTATACTTCTCAAGATCATCTCCTAGGATCGCTAGGAGTTTTTCAGGAAGCAATGTGGTCATCAAGAAATCCATTGAGAAGAGAGAATTTTTGCTAGGAAAACATTTGAACTAGAGAACACACATAGCTATGGTTTTTGTTGGTGTGATTTTGCTCACAACTCCCACATTTGAGGCTGATGCTCTCAAGACATGCTCCTCTCTCCTGAAAGAATGTTGGTAATTTTATTCTTCTCTTTTGTCCTTCAAGAAAGATGAGTGTTTTCTTTTCTCTCTCTCTAGATTGGAGCTTGCTTGATGCATTGCAGATCCTTCATGCTTGCGAACTTGTAACAATCAATCTAAGGAGACCAAGTGCTAGATAAGTCTCAAGATTTTGTGTAAAACTTCTTTTGGATCAATCGATTCACAAATACTTTCAGATAAAATGTAGAGACATGTTTGAGAAACAAGGTGGTGGACAAATTCAACGATTGCGTGGTGAGCCACAAGAGCTGCATCTCATAGAAGAAAGATGAGGGGCATTTCCCAGTCCCGCCACCCTTGGGCTTGCGGCGCAAAAAGGTTAGGTGGGATCGTGCGTCCAACCAGAGAATGGGGCTTTGATGGAGGGAGTGTTGATGTTTGCTGGATTGGGAGGCAGCCAAATTGCATGGGCAAAAGAGGAAGGTGTTGTGACATGTGTTGCATGCAAAGTGTTGACCATGACTGCACTTATTGTCTATCCTGTCGAGCAAAAAAGCTATTGTGAGTTTTGCATGTGCCTAATGATGTGGCAAAAATTAAGCAGAGCTTTGGGCCAATGGCTATGATTAACCCAAAATTAATCAATTGCTTCATTCAAGATCCACTTTTTTTCCAGGATCTGAGTGCCCTACACAACTTAGTGCTTTGGGTACTTAGTCTATTCCAATATAGTGCTTTATAGCTTGAGGAATAGGTGTGCAAGAAGACTTCAAATAACTGTTACATTTTCAAAGTCCCTTTGTTATTTTAGCAAGTATTGGCACCTAGTTTTTTTGCTTCTTAAACCTTCTTTGTGGCTAGATCTAGGCATTCAGACACAGACTTTCAGCCAAGTGCCCTATAGGATTGTAGGAGGTACTACTCAATTTTAGAATGTTTTTTTTTTTTGGTTATGGGTTTGTAATGGGATTTTTTAGCTAAGCACAAATTATATAGCATTCTAGACCTTGGCATATGGAATCTGATTGCTTCCCCTGAGGAGGAGTTGTTGAACTTTCTAGGCCACCGGATCCAGCCAATTGTAGCTGTCCAATCGGCGGGGGGGGGGATAACTATAAAGGGGTTATTTTTTTAACCACGTGTTTGTGAATAATCGCACTAATGTTTGCTCCCAGCCAATAGGAGGTGGCCAAACTACATGGGGCGGGTGGGAGAGGAAGGCACAACAACACGTGTTGCATGCAAATGTGCTGACCGTGACTGCACCTGTGGTCTATCGAGTGAATTGGTTTTGTTTTGTAATGTTTTTCTAGGGTTTATAAAATGGCAAGAGAGCCCCTGCCACTGCTGCCGATTCGCTATCCAAATCTGAGGCACTGTGTCAACACCATTGGAATTGGCATGTGTCAGCCATGTCCTGGTACAGTTTGTGTCAAGATCTAATTGATTTGTCCGCACTTTCTTCAAGCATTGTTTCAATTCCAGGTCTGCTTTGGTAGTGGTAGAGTTAAAAAACGACGGGTCAAATGCTTATAAGCCAAATCTATATGGCAAGACAATAGTGATTCAATGGAGAATCACTGCTGAAAAATTTTTGTCTTGAAAAATCACCAAGGTTGGTTTTCTATCATATGAGAGATTTACTTCTTTTGTATTGTATATTCTAGGTGAAAAACTTTCTTCAAACAAGCAGGATTTGTGCAATATGATTGACCATCTCAATGTAAGTTAAGATTGTATTTTTAAAATTTTCTACTTTCCTACTGTCACCTTTTTTCTTTGTAGATTGACGTGGAAAACCCGTGTGTGATTATGTCTCAAGACATGAGTTGAGATTTTTTGAGTGCTGGTAGTGAGAAAGAGAAATTCAAGGCAACAATAGCTTTTGTTTCCAAGCTAAAGATGGTCTAACATATACTTATGCTGTAGTTTTATTTCAAGGCAACACTTTTGGAGAAAGTCTCAAAATTGCTAGATATGAATACAAAGTGCCTTCAAAAGGACAGGAAATCTTCTAAAGTGCTCGAATAGGATCTGGTGAAGATAGAAGAGAAACTTCTCCATGCAAAACAAGTGGATGAACTTGCTGAAGAAGTTCACAGATTGGTTTGGGCTGTAGTTTATGAGATAGACAAGAAACTTGAAGACATCCAATCATTTGTAAGAGAACTCAAGCAGCTTATACTTCTAGTTGAAGAGGACATCAAGATGCAAACAGTGAGCAGTTTGGTCTTTTATTTGTTGGATGTTTGAGGTTTTTGCGTTGTAGCAATTACTTGCAGAGATTCTAAATTTATTTGTATCCCAAGTAAAAACAATTATTTTTTAGTAATTCTTCATTTGCTTTATTTTTCTGGGAGTGTACTAAAAATATTTATAATCTAATAACTATTAAAAAACTATTCTTAGCAATTTTTATTTTACTTTTCTCTGGGTTGGGTATTAAGTTTCTTAAAATTTTAATATTCTAAATATATTCATATTCCCAAGAGTACTTTGTATATATTATCTTTATCAATAATATTTACCTACTAATTCTTCTTTTCTCACTTTGGGAATATATTAATATTCTAAATATATGGTCTATGTTGTATAGTATTATGTGTGTGTATGTAGAGATATCAGAAGGAAAAAATTGTATAAAATTATTGATTTTTGTACTTATCTAGCATTTGCTAGCAACATGTCATATGCAAAGTGTTAACTAGCATTAACACTCAACCTTTTGCAATAAAAACCCTCTGAAAGTGAGAGGGTAAGTTCTAAGATTTAATGAAGAGTGTTTGGGATGATAACAAGCCTAACTAATAATGCCTTCAAGTTGTGATTCAAGCTCATATGTGAATCTCTTTCCCTTGATTTAAGGTTTTGTGAGCTATGGCATGTGCTTTTGCAAAAACAAAGGAGTGAGATCTTGCAATAATAGCTGTATTTGATTGTGTAGTATTTGATTGTGTAGTATTTGATTAAGCAATAATATTTTAGAATATTTTTCCTAACTGTAAATATAGTTTATTAGTACATAATACTATGGAATTACAGTTTCTATAGCATATGTATTTACAAAATATTTTGTTAGTAATTATTTTCTTGACTGGATCTGGGTAGTAATATATTAATATAAATTTATTGTTTTATATTCCAAGTAAAAATATAATTTACATTTAACATATTATCATAGTCAATGCAAAAATGAATACTCCCATCAAAGAGATCGGCATACTACTAATAATAGAAATTTAATTTTTAATTTTTCTGGGTTGGGTATTTTTCCAAATATATTCATATTTCAAAATAATAATTTATATCTAATATTTTATTAATGAATATTTATTCTTACTTATGCCTAGGAATATATTTTGTTCTAAATATTTATATTATCAAGTTTACAAGAATTGATTTTTATATTCACTTAGCATTTGCTGGGCACAATTCCCTTAATTCTTCTTTTAAAGTGGAATACAATTTTTTTTATACTATTCTAATTTATTTTTTAATATAACAAAAGTATAACAATCAAAACAGTATTTTGCTAACTGGGTAGCATATACTAGGCAAGTGCTAGTTAAAGGATGAGATTATAGTATCCATTGTTATTGAAAATATCTCTCCCTGGATTAAATTAACTCGTTGAATTGGAGTAAACTAAAGCATGGCAATCGTGCATTAGCTTGTGGATGACGTGCAACAACCTAAGAAAACCATCAAAATTGGGAGATTTACAAATTTCTATCTATCTATCGAAAGTCTGCTTTGGCTGGGACCTTGGGAGGGACTGGCTTTTCAGCAGTAGCCTTAAGAGCGGCTTTCACGTCAGCATAGACTTCATCTGGCATTTTATCCGTTGGGATCTACGCACAGAAACACCAAGTCAGCAGAAAACAATGACGTATCCTTACCGTTTTCACAGCCTTTGGCAACGATTTCCTGTAGTAGTCAATCACGGGCTTCGATTCGGCCAGGAACGTCTCAAAGCGCTTCTTGATCGTCTCAATGTTGTCGTCTGCCCGGCCAGAGGCTTTTCCACGTTGCAAAAGCCGCTTCTCCATAAGCTCGAGTGAGCAGTCCAAGCACAAAACCACGTCTGGCTTGCCAACCTGTGACAAAAGAAAAACTTTTGAGCAGCAGAAAACGCATAGGAAACGAAGTCACATAACCTTGGCTTCAAACTCATGGGCCTGATCCACAGCACGGGGAAAACCATCAATGAGAAACCTCTTGCACTTGGCTTTCCCCATTGCTTGCTTGAGCAGATTGATGGTCACGTCCAGAGGCACTAGCTTTCCTTCCTTCATCAAAGTGTCGCATTGCTTGCCAAGCTCGGAGCCCGACGCCACCTCTGCCCGTAACAAATCTCCTGTCGATAAGTGCGAGTAGCCAAAGTCTCTGACCTGTGAAAAAAAAGGGAAAAGCAGAAAAACTGTGCTTCAGTCATCCTTTAGCTAAATTTTTCTGTCTACTTGCCATTCGCTCGCACTGAGTTCCTTTGCCACAGCCAGGGCCACCTGAAACAAAGAAAGCCAAAGGAAAAAGATTGAGAAAAAAATGCTATCTGGAGAACAAGGAAAGGAATGAGGGGAGAAGTACCTAGAACGAAAATAATGGTGCGTCTCTTACAGTTGTGTTGTCTGTGGTCGAATCCTGTAAGAACAGGCGCGAACTTTGCAACAAGACCATACTGATCCTTGAGAAGTTGCGCAATGTACTCAAAGACTTCGGTCGGGGACATGGCGGAAGAGACCTGCACACACAGTTTTTAAGTCGGTATAAAGAAATTTTAGAGTGTCAACTCTCTCACCGTCTTCAAAAGATTTGGAACCTTCTCATAGAACCTGACAACCGGAAACGATTCCTTGCGGTAAGTTTCAAACCTTTTCTTGATGGTCTCCATGTTGTCGTCGCTGCGTCCGCTTGTTTCACCACGCTTCAAGAGCCGCTCTTGCATGACTTTGAATGGACATTCAAGATATATCACCAGATTTGGCTTTCCAATCTGCTCAAAACGAGATCAGAACATGATAGAAAATAATTCAAAGAATGTGACAAATGCTGTACCTTTTTCTCGAAGAGCTGCGCCTGATCCACAGATCGTGGAAATCCATCGATAAGAAAATGCTTGCGTTCGGATTTCTCCATGGCCGCTTTTAAGAGATTAAGTGGAATCTCGGATGGCACAAGCTTCCCTTCTGCCATAAGTTCTTCGCAGCTGATTCCAATCTGTGTCTTGTTTTTTATTTCATCCCTCAAAAGCTCGCCAGCGGAGAGATGAACAAATCCGTAGTTTTTAACAAGCTCCTCACACTGTGTCCCCTTCCCGCATCCCGGGCCACCTAGAAAAACAATTCCAACACTTAGTTTACTCGATATCTCTGCGAGGGGAAAAAAAAAAAAAAAAAAAAAACACGAAGTATTTGAAGTACCTAAGACAAAAACCGTGAGGCGCGTTGGTGCTCTACTCCTGGGAAACGAGGAAGAAAAGATGAAAACTTTCGTTTTGTAAGTTCCAAAGCTCTCACCCGAGAGGTATCCCATGCTGAGAAACTCTGCGCTTCATCTTGTACTTCCGCGGTGGAACCGGCTTGAGGGGAGGAAAGCCACAGCACTGCGGCGAATAGTGCCACGGCTCAAAGCTTCTTCCCCGAGAACGAGACCGAGACCGCGATTTACTTTCGGTTGGCGAGCGAGAGCGAGAACGGCCCCGATCGCGAGCACCAGCCGGAGACTGAGAACGTCCCCTTGGAGAACCTCTTGGAGAAGTTGACGAAGGACGATCTCTTCTACTGCGTCCTCGAGCAGCATTTGGAGCCTCCTCCTCCTCCTCTTTCGAGGGACCGCAACCCATCCTTGTAAAGCTGAGAAGCTAATGCTATAGTAGAAGAAGAAGAAACACCGAGAGAAACCAGTTCTTCACTTCTCTCGTGATCTTTCCTTCTCTTTCTCCCGTTCTTCCTTTTTATCGGCACTGCTTTGCTTGGAATGATCTACGAGTGCTTGCACTAAAGGCCTTCTCTCGGCATTCGCCACGAAAAGACGAGCCCAGTATGCCCCCGCAGCCGAGCTCTGCTGCTCACATTGCCTACAACACTCCTTATCCATCTTTCCACACTGTCAGGCCATCGCTGGGCACCGCGACTGCCCGTTCTGGACAATCCATCCAACACGCGTAAGCTCGGTTTGCTCGATTTGTCGAAGGCGCCATAGCAGCGCCCTCCAGAAACGCTGCGATTCCTAGATTCTGTCTCACAAACCTGGCAATGCAGTGCTCTCGCCATCCCAGAAATTAGGGCAAAGTGGCCCTAGAGACATGCGCCTATTGGAGCAAGGACACGTAAGCACGTTGTGCTGAGTCATCCGCCACGTCGTAATATCTGAGGTTTTTGCGTTGTGTGGCTATGGCGGTAGTGGCGCCACTGCACAGCGCCTTCTTGTCTCCATGGAGCGGCGCCAGCAGCGCCAATGCGGCGCCACTGCGTGAGAGATTCAGCGTGATTGCGGCAGCCGTGACGAGCAGTCCGAGCAGCTCTCCGGCAATCCGGACTGGGCGCGATCGTCTCGACAAGGTGAGATATTTGGGAAGAATGCGGCTCTTGGATCGATTCTCTGGTGTTGGCCACGCAGGTTCCAGTGCCGCAAATCCGAAATTTCTCCATAATCGCGCACATCGACCATGGCAAATCGACCCTGGCGGACAAGCTCTTGCAGCTGACTGGAACCGTGGAGGTTCGAGACATGAAGGAACAGTTCTTGGATAATATGGATCTCGAGAGAGAACGAGGGATTACTATCAAGCTCCAGGTCAGTTTCTTCATAGAATCTCTAGTTTCGTGTCTTTAATCTGGAAGGAGACTTACAGACAGCAAGAATGCGATATATTAGCGAGGACTCTTTGCCATACTGCCTCAATCTCATAGACACTCCCGGTCACGTCGATTTTTCTTACGAGGTATTGATCTTTTGGTTTTGTTGTTTTCGTGTGACTCTTCCATTTGTGAAGGTCTCGAGGTCACTAGCTGCTTGCGAAGGAGCACTTTTAGTTGTGGATGCCTCTCAAGTAAGTGTTTGCTTTGATTCTATGTTTCTTCTAGCGCTTTATGCGAACACTTCTTGCAGGGGGTGGAAGCTCAGACTCTCGCAAATGTGTATCTAGCCCTCGAAAACAATTTGGAGATAATACCTGTGAGTATAGCAGTTGCGCTCTTGTGTTCAATGCAGCAAACCAATTCGCTGTATTGCAGGTTTTAAACAAGATAGATCTTCCTGGAGCTGATCCCGACCGCGTTCGCCAGGAGATCGAAGAGGTCAGGTTCATAGCTTGATTTGTGGCTAAATTTGGATTTTCAGATAGTAGGCTTAGATTGTACAGACGCAATTTTGTGCTCGGCAAAGGTAACCTTTTTCCGTTCTTGTAAGTTTCTTCGAGCATGTTTTTGGCCTTACTCAGGAAGGGATAGGTATTTATGAAATTTTAGAAGCGGTCGTGAAAAAAATTCCCCCGCCGAAGGATACAACCGCTGACCCTCTTAGAGCTCTCATTTTTGACAGGTTGAAAATGGTTTTTCTCCTTCGCACGCTGTGTAACACTACATTTTTTTGCAGTTACTACGATCCCTACCGCGGCGTCATCGTGTACTTTAGAGTCGTAGATGGGAGCTTGCGTCGAGGAGAATCAGTAAAATTTATGGCTAGTGGAAAGGTGGGTATTTTTCTCATATGCAGCTGCTCGGAACGTGTATTTGGCATGCAGGAATACCAGGTTGATGAAATCGGAGTATTGTCGCCTTCACAAATGCCCGTGCAGCAGCTGTACGCAGGAGAGGTACGCAACTTCAAAACACATTTTGTCTTGACGATGTTTCTTTGTAAAGGTGGGGTATCTTGCGGCGTCAATTCGCTCAGTCGCTGATGCAAGGGTTGGAGATACCATTACAAGTTCTTCCAGAAAAGCTGAAAAGGCGCTTCCTGGATATCAGCAGGCAACTCCAATGGTTTTCTGTGGACTCTTTCCTATTGATGCAGATCAGTAAGTCTACTTGTTGCACTAATGAAATACCTGAACTCGTCCTGTTTCAACAGGTTTCCCGAGTTAAGAGAAGCACTGGGGAAATTGCAGCTAAATGATGCTGCTTTAAGAGTATGGCCTCGATGCTAAGTCGCCACCTATTAAACACTGATGCCATTGTATCTAGAATTCTGCAGTTTGAACCGGAAAGTTCGAGTGCAATGGGATTTGGATTTCGATGTGGATTTCTTGGCCTTTTGCACATGGAAATAGTACAGGTAATAATTGGCGCATTTTCATTCTTTTCTTAAGCTGGCATGAAACGCTTACAGGAAAGACTTGAAAGGGAGTACAATTTAAATTTGATTACAACCGCACCAAGTGTTGTGTACAAAATTGAACGGCTTGACGGAGAAACTGTAAGTACCGTTTTTCTTGGTAAAACCGTGATGATATCTTGATTGCTAGGTTGAATGCTCGAATCCTTCGGAACTCCCTGAAAATCGCAAATGTATTTCGGAGCCTTATGTGAAGGTGGGCACAATTGTATATGGCTTTTGCAAAAGTTTACACTTTTAAGATCCAGATTGATCTGATAACACCGAAAGAGTACATTGGCACTCTGATGGAGCTCGCACAAGAAAGGCGTGGAGAATTCAGAGAGATGAATTATATCACTGAAAACCGTGCCTGTGTTGTTTATGATCTTCCTCTGGCTGAGGTACAGTACTCTCAAGCATTTGCTTCTGCTTGAATGCCGTTTAACCTTTTGGTAGATGGTTGGAGATTTCTTTGATCAATTGAAGTCACGTAGCAAGGGCTATGCGAGCATGGAGTACTCCATTACCGGGTAGATCAAAAGCTCTTCGTAGGCTGGTACTGAATCATACGTTTAATCATGCAGATATCGCGTGAGTGATCTTGTCAAACTTGACATAAGAATCAATGGGGAGCCTGTGGAGCCGCTATCGGCAATCGTTCACAAAGATAAGGTATTTGTTCACTGTTTCTACTCAGCATAGCAACTTAATCTCTCCGCTTCGACAGGCGTACACCATAGGACGGGCTCTGACGGAGAAACTCAAAAGTTTGATTCCCCGCCAGCTCTTCAAAATACCAATTCAGGTGTCACCTCTTTCATTTTCCGTATTCTACAAAAACACCAACCTGAGATCTCTCTACAGGCGTGCCTTGGGTCTAGAGTCATTGCCAGTGAACAAATCTCAGCCATGCGCAAAGACGTGCTGGCCAAGTGCTACGGTCTGTGCTCTCTTTTCAGCTCTTTGTACAGCTCTCAAAATCTTCCAATGCTGCAGGAGGAGACATAACGAGGAAGAAGAAGCTGTTGAAGAAACAAGTAAGCAGATAAGCCACTTGATACACAACTCACTTGTTCGATGCAGGCCGAAGGCAAGAAACGAATGAAATCGGTGGGAAGAGTGGAGGTTCCCCAAGACGCGTTCATGGCAGTGTTAAGGCTTGAGAAAGATGTGGTTTAATTGTAAGAGGTACAAAGAACAAGGTACTCGAGTGTTTCTCTCGAATTAAAGCCAGAAATGGCCTACACAAGCGTGCAATCTAGCGGACTAATCTTCTGGGGAGACAGTATTTTGCCGCAATCTCTGCAATAAGCTCTTTCTAAAGAACTTTAAACAGCGTTTGGCGCCAGTTTTATGGAATTAGGGCTCTTGCAAATACTCATCTCGAATCACTGCTAGATTATTCTTTTTTTGTTTCTTTTCTTGAGCAGCCAAAAGAGCCCAGCAGCTGCGGCAGCTACTTGTCCGCGTTTTGAGCTACATCAGTCCCAGCCAGGTAACTCATCCATCTAAATGCCTATTGATTCATTCTTCTTCCAGTAGAAATGGTTGGAGAGCAATGGGCTAGAGGCGTCCACTGCTTGCATGATGGAGCTCTTGCGCTCATATTATTTCCCCAACATGGATGCATAAGAAGGAAATATTTTTTTCTACTCTTTTCGCTTGGATTCAATAGCTCCCCTAATGCAGGATATCATTTCGTCAAGGTCTATCTTCCGGGAGCAGAGACGTGATTTATCCTTTGCTCTCATGGCTGCTTCCTCAGGTCATTTTTCATCTAAACAGTAGTGCAAAGTGAGTTTTGTTTTCTTCCTTTCTCATACTTTACTGATGGCTGCTTGGCTATTGTTTTCTAGATTGTGGTGTTTAAGAAGCACGTATACTTGTCACACTTTCTAAGTGAAGTGGAGATTCCTGGAGAGCTTCTCTTGGACGAGGGCTGCAACATCTTGCAAGTGCAATGCGGAGCTCTGAGGGACCATTTCAAGGCCAACTATTGCCGGCTGCAAAGCCTCCAGGAAGCGCAGACGGACAAAGACGTGGTCTCTTTGCGAGAAAACGTCCACAAACTAGAAGCCGAGAAAGAACACATGTCAACAAAGGTCTCCAAATTGCGAGCCAAGCTCCAAGTAAGTCGTTCACATCTGGTTTCTTTGTCCTCTTTCTCCATGAACTTGGCAAACGATGTATAGGAACCAAAGCGAGCTTTAGCTACCGAGTCAGGTAGAGATCTAAGTTCCTTTCAAAATGGTCTATTGATTGGAACAATATGCCGCGCAGGGAAGCACGGGAAAGCACTGCTCAAGCTCGAGTACATGCAGGTCCTAGTGAACACCACCTCCCCTCATGAGCGAAAGAATTGCTCAGGAAATATCAGTGCTACGCTATTCCTGTTGATTTACCCTGTCTCTTGCAAGCTCTTTTCAGGAGTTGGCAGAAAAACAGCGACACCAGACGCCCTCGACAAAGTTTTGAATGATCCCAACTACAACGATGACAAAATCTTGCGAGTTCCTTTTCTTTGTTGCAATGGAGGTGCTTTCAACACAGGCAAAGCTTGTATCAGCAAACAACGAGCTCAAATCTCTGAGAAAACGGAAACGAGCTCTCCCCCAACGGAGACTATGTTATTCGTAAACTGGTGTTGGCATGAAAAAAGACTGTACTAAAAACAAGCCATGGGGCATTTAGTAGAATAATCTACGTATAAAATTGGATATGAAACGGTATATTCCTTATGTGAAATTGATTACGCATGAAATTGAATTAGATTTTTGAAGGATATTCCCTAGAATCTAATGGCCATTATGTGGGGATCATGGCCATGTAAATGGCCCCTTATCCATCCATAACCATTTAATTAGACCCATTTATTGTTTCAAAATATTTCTAACTATAAGCCTTGAATTTTTTCCCTGATTCCTAGTGCCTTTTCTAATTTCAATTGATTAAAGCTTTTGAGCACTATTACAATTTAGCAAGGGCTGAGGAGCTCAAATAAAGTGATTAACTTCATATATTTCAACTATCAATAACATTGGACGCTCATTCTAGAGCAGTGCAAGAAATTTTATGGAATTCCATTGTTTCATGGGGAAGTTAATATAACTATTTGAGATTTCAAAATGCTTAGATACTTAATTATTATTTTTATTTGGAAGAATGGGCCAAAATTTCCCACTATATGCTATGTATAGAAGAAGGACAGAAATTTATCGAGATTGGAAGATAGTTATACCTCTTGTAAATCATATTATTTATAAAGCTGCCTGAAAGAGGTTTATGTTTCGAAGATAGTTATACCTCTTGTAAATCATATTATTTACAAGGCCACTTGAAGGAGGTTTATATAAGATGTTTATATCGCAAACTGTGTAGTTGACATGTATTCCAAATGTAGAAGCTTTGTGGACACATACATGGGCTTGGACAACATTCATACGTGTATTTGGGACTATGTTTCATGGAACACTATACTTTTCAGGTATGTTAAAAGTGGTGAAGGCCACTTAACTCTCATACTAGTTTATAGGATGTATATTTTTCAGATAAGATTGTTACCTTCTATGATTTGCTATATGATTCTAAACACATTGCTCAAATCTATACTTCATGCTTGCCAATCTCCCAATCTAGGAATATAATTATGCTTTATTATATTTTATTTGTGAATCAATAATATTAATACATAGTTGGTGATAACATTTGAATTCCACTACTTAAAATTAAAATACACCTTAAAGAACAAATAAATTTTAAAGAATTCATAACTAAGCTAGATGGAGAATGGTCATTTGCAACTTTTCAAGAGCTCTTCTAATGACTAGAGTTGCCATACATAGTGTTGTTGCAATGTAGTCTATGAGTGGGATGTCTTTTTATATTTGCTAGTGCACATAATATTAATAAATTCAAGAGTAAAAGGTATTATTCATCTAGATTTCGCCTAGTATAATAGAGTGAAAATGCTTGATTCTGGATTGTTGTTATGTGTTGTTCAAAACAAAGAAATTCTTAACATAGGGAACATCACAAAAAAGATAAAACTAAATACTTGTGGCAAAGTAACACCTTCAACACTGCATAGAAATGATCTAAGCAAGAGTTCAATATCTTTATTTCTTAATGCTCTGATTATGCTGTGAAAAAAATAAAATGTGTGTGTGTGTATATATATATATAAGAAATTTAAAATTTAAAAAGATTTGAGTAGATATTTTGTATTTGGTTTTGTGTTGAAGTGCCACTGATAAAAGGTGAAGCTTGGGAGGTCTATATTCTACTCTCCACATCGTTGGCCTTTAGTGTGTGATTGCTTCTAATCTATTTTGGATAGCAAAATTTATAAACAACATGTGCATAAATGTTAAAAATTACATATTACTGCTTTGTAGTTGATAACTCGTAAAAGATGATGTTATGTGTAGCACCACAAATCATAGCATGGACATAAAATCCATATGATACTAGTTTACATTATGCTGCTAGAGTAAAGCATGACAGAAATAAGTTTAAAGTGAGCCTTATAAGGTCTTGTATAGCTAAAGCTTTGCAAATTTGACATTGACTAAAATAATATTGACAACTTGAGTGGCCATTTACAATCTGTATCACTGTGACTCATGGCAATGTTAGTGAGGATATGATGAAACACCTCTAATGATGGTATCTTACTCTTCAATTTACATCAATGAACCTCATATATTTATACAATGTTAGATTTGAAATCTGTAAATATGATGCTAAGTAATCCATTGTCTTGGTCTCACAAATGCATCCACAAATAAAAAGCAATTGGATTGCTAAAACATCTAGAAACCAAGGAATGTTAGAATTCTTATAATCATATATTTAATAATTTACTCTAAACATGAAATTATATACCTCTGTGTATTGCTCTTTGTTATCACTCTCAAATGTTCAAGAAGAGTCTAAATCATATGGGATAGACTGTCCACTTATACCATCTTGCTCTTCTATGAGACCTAACGAAAATCTCAAGCAAAAAAATGTCGTTATCTATAATAAAGAAGTTTGAAATTGACAATAGAAATTTACTCATGTTTCTTAAGCTTCATTATGTATGCTATATGTCAAAACCTCCTTACAAATCCTGTCATCAAAAGAAAATAAAACCATCTAACTATTTTAAATATAAATTACCTTGTTATTGCCCTAGATTTTTTAGTACCAATACCCATGGATCTAGACTCCACCATAGTGCCCTACACAACAACAAGTAGGCCTCACCAGACACTAATCAAAGGATGAGTAGACATGTACTGGGATGTGCATAATAGACATGTATGGAAATCTGATCACATTGGATGCCCATTGGATGTTTATAATAGAAATATGGTTATGATAGACCAATCAAATGTTGCCACTTGGCAAATGCAATATTGCACAGTATGGTATTTTTCATGCAACACCATTTTATAAATAACATGCCATATTTTGTGTAATGGTAATAAAGTGCTTTGGTCACTAAAAAGCTCAAAGCAACATTTGACAAGCTCAAGGTCTCATGGCAAGAAAAGAGCAACTCATAGTTGACCTCTCTTAAAGGTTATATCAATGTCACTAATTTTAAATTTTCCACTTTATATTTTAACAAATTAATACCAACTACAACACTACTATGATTAGCTTTTACAACTCCAGGAACAATGATGAGATGTTGTTGCAATCAATAAGTTGTGCCAGAGGTATATAGCTATACATCATGCAAAGCAAGTGTAGCAAAAGAGTGTTATTTGGCTCTTCCTCAAGATTATCATTGTTAGAAATCTAGTGAAAATTGTTATTATTTTCACCATTGGATAATAGCAAACAAGCTACTTCCAAATCCATAGTATGGTTCATACTTGAGGTGCTATTACTTTTAATACCTTTGTATCCATTGTTTGTTTTTTATTCAGTTTTGTTCACTAATATTGTATATTTCTTTTCAAAAGGTCAAAGTGATGGTGAGAATCAACATGTTATCAATAGACATAATGGGTGATGATCCCAACAAAGCACTGAGCTCTATCCAAATATCAAGTATATTATACATAATTTTTCAATTGAAGTTTAAAGGAGAACTAAAGAATTGCATCTATTCATAGTTGATCTTTTAGGCTGATCATTTGCCTTATATCTTGAAGTATCTTGGAGTCCTTCAGAATTTTATGCTCATAAGGATGGATGGTTGGTATTTGAAATGAATTATGAGCTTAAAAAACTAGCATATTTAGGAATGCTCTATCATATAAAATACTCTACTACAATATAGAAACAAAGTGATTACTGCAAAGTAATATAGAATATAGTGATAGTTAACTTATTTATTCTAAGATTTTCAATTGAGTCTAGAGTTCTAAAAGGCCTTGAAGTTGCTAGAGAATAAATCTACTCTCAGCTCATGGCTGTACTTGTACTTTTGCATTTGTTTTCAAGTTTCAACAATTACCTTTAGTGGATTGCTTTGGACATTGTTTTGCTAATCTACAAGTGTAATTTTGGTCTTCCTAATATCCTTGGACACATTTAATTCATGACATCAAAACAACTTTCGCACCATGGAGATCAACATGCTCCTTTATAGGTTCACCATAAAAAGTGTCTTTAACACCTAGATGATCTTGCCTGGCTTTCTAACTTTCCAACCCCCTATCACCTTGCCCTGCACTATGTGCCTCCTCACTAATAAGCAAAGTACATGTTTAAAGAAGTAAACTAGAATTACACACTACATGTTAAATATTAGATGATAATCATTTTAGTTAGGCTTTAATTAGTTCTTATAATATTTAAACAAGCATTTTGATATTCAAGAACTGAGATGAAAGTTTGGACTACTACTATTTACCAGCCATCAGAAGAGCTGCAACCATGAGTTCAGGGTTGAAACACATCTTTGTGGAAGGGTGAGTATTCAAATTAAGACGTTTTTGTTATAATCATAGGGTATTCAGATCTCCAGCTCTAACCATGCTTTGAGCAGTGGTACATACAAGATCTTCAACACTGGGGAGTTCAAGCTGCTTCGAAATCTTCTGCGGATTTTAATAACATCGGAACCACTGGCTGCATTTACCCATGGCAATGGTACATGAAGACAGTCAAGTGCCACATACACCAGGCTTTCTAAATCGGAATGGATTCCTGGAGTTTGACTTCTAGAAAAAAAGCAAGTACCTGAATAAAGCCAATCAGGTACATTGGTGGGATGATCAATATCAGGCAGCCGGCTGGCTAATCCCCAGTCAATAAGTCGGTAACGTCCCTTTTCGTCCTGGCAGATGTTGCAGGGTGCAACATCGTTGTGCGAAATCCCATGCTCACCATAAACATGAGAAAGTACCATATAAATGGCCTTTGTCATATGGAAAACGTCTTCAGGCGTCATTGTGTCTGTGTTGATTTTCTGTCCCGCATCTTCCAAGAGTAACGCAGGAACCCCCCTCCAGACTACTGCCCTCGCCTTCACAGAGTCCTCTGGACACAGATACTGACGAATTAAAAGCTCTCGCTGAACCTGCTTGTACCGGTCACCTACTGTTGCCGCTTTAATCCAGGCTTTCAATCCCGATCCATGGATTGTCACGGGGAATAGATACGGGTGCTCTTTCTCAGCTGCCTCAGCCTTAACCGGTTGAACTAGCTGCTCTTCATTAACACTTACTTCCATTCTCTCTGTTCTCAACCCGGCAGCACCACTGGCATCACCTTGAAGGAGACTCTGTGGCAGGAACCCGGCTTTGATCAGAGCAATAACTACCTCTTTCAGGACTTGATCGACCCCCCTTGAATCCATATCTAAACTCCTGGCCTCTCCTATCTTTATGTCGCTACCCTCCACGATTTTCAGTACCCGGCTGGCTTTGAAATGATCTTCGGATTTGGTGGAGTCAGTCCGGACGATTATAACATGCACGCCGTTGGGTATAAACCCGCTCTGAACCCTGTGTTGAGACTGCCTTGCCATGTGAATTTCACCAATTTGGCCTCGAGCCATTTGTAGAAGCTCCCGACTATCGTCGCTGAGAACAATACGCTGCTTTTTCTTGCTCATGCTGTTGTTCTCCTCACTTTCGTCGCTTTTCTGATCAGACGACGGCACCCTGCTTCTCTTCGCCCTGGTCTCCTCCTGAATGTCATCACCCTTCTGGTTCAGACTCTTCAGCTCTATTAAAAACCTGCACCTCGAACTCGACCTTTCAACTTCAACCTGTATGTCCGGAATTCGCTTCCCGTTTGATGTCTGAACTGGGACCAGAACCTTCACCGAAATTGTAGGCAGAGCTTTATCTTTGTCAAGGACCTGAAAAATACTTTACAACAGCACTGCAAAACAAAGGCCACAGGCAGCGTAGTGTTTGACTCTGACATTTGCCTGAGCCTCATCACAGGCATACATGCTCTTCCCTGCATTCAAGGACAAGGATTTGTAGCAAAGAAGAAAGATTAGAAAACAGTACCTAAAGGAACGCCAAGCTGGTCAGGCTCCGTTCCTTCCACATATGAAACTTGTAAATGTTCAAAGCCTCTTCCCTTATAGTCTGCACAAACATCTTTTCTGATCCGGTCCCAGCCTTTGATTCCCTCTTGGTTGAGTGTGTCAAGCACATATCTACCCCCAAACATGGTTTGGCTCCATGGAACTCTGATGCAAGTGTGGAGACAACGTTTTAAACAAAACAAACAATAAACAAATAAACATACCAAGCGGCCTGGGCAGAAACGATCTCCACCGTATTGCATGCAAATCAGTATTGCCACGCAGGAGTTGATGCAAAGGACTCCACTTATCCAGTACAAGCTTGTTGAAGTCAACAGCTTCACTGTCAGAGAACTTCTCCATGTCGGAAATGGGGTTAAGTGACTAAAGTAAAATGGAAAAATTTGTCACTCACACTCAGCTCATCCCTTAGGTGCAGAGTAGCATTCGGAGGAACATATGTTACACAGATTCTCGCTTTTATCATTTCCCAAGTGGCCACCGGTCCTTCATTGGCCTCTGTTGTTCTCCACCAAAACTTGGCATTATCTGCCAAGTATGGTTTTGCAAATGGGACCTTCTCCAAGCTTGGTAACCGCAACGCTCGGAAGTAGTTCTCCATATCGTAAAACCAATCCTCCACCACCTTATAGTTATTCACTCCCTTGAAGATCGGTGGGGGTTTTAGTTTGTACTTGGGAACTACTTGAGGGACTGATTCCACTTCGGTCTGTTTGACCTTGTTTGGTTCTGCCTCAATCCCTATCGAAGGGTCTGCACCTTCTGCGTTGCCAGCATTTATAGTCTTTCACTTTTTCTTCCGCTTCTCATCACGCTTTAGCTTGCGTACAAGAGTCTCCAGCAGGGCATTGGTTTGTGTCAACTGTCCTTCTAGAACATCCAATCGAGCCTTGGACGACCGAACCTTGCCACCAGACTCCTGTTTGGAAGTTTCCTCATTGGAGTCCTCCTTGTGCAAGGATACCTCATCCATAGCCTCTTGTTCGACCAAAGGCTCCAGCTTTGGCGGAGGTTCCGTCTCTGCCTTGGTTCGTTTACGCCCTGCCTTTGCCATCTCCTAGCAATCCGCCTCTATCCTTCGTTAAAACTAAGGAGAAGGCTCCGATACCAAATTGTAAGCCACAAATTTTTTCTTTCCAATTTGCCAACTTACCTCGTCTATCTGACCAACACTGCCTTGGCTTTAGCTAAGTTCCCTCGCCAAGGTTCTAGCCTATGGTACCAGCTCCTACTTGGTCCTACTTGGTTTCAACTACTCACTGCATGAGCAACGGAGTGTTAGCCATCCATCCATGGATTCCCAAAACTCTCCCAATCCCCCTCCCCGAGTTAGACTGGACTTAAGGTTTGGCTACACTCCCCGTAGGCACAAGCAGCCAAGCACACCAAGCCTCCAGGTTCCTATCATCCTTTGGTACCACAAGACTTGATCATAGGACCCTCTAAATCCCAAGTCTTGGGTGCAACATTTGCTTTGGGACATCGGGGCGAAACATTGTGGCCTAACGGCCCGGTATGGGTACCTTTACCCCCCACTTCTATCCCGAAGGGAAGGCCCAAGCCCCTAGGAAGGGCGAGGACCAATGAGCCACGAGGTACTCAACTGAGGCACCACTCCATATGAGCCAGGAGCACTGCAGTCGGTTTCCCTTTCAGGAGTGGGAGCTGCTCTTGAGCACTTCCTTGGGTGGCCCCTCCAGCACCACCCGAGTCCATGCTCACTCCCACCCAAGGCTCCTCGGCCCCAGTCTCAACCTCAAGTCAGTTTGGAAGCACCATTAGAGAGTTCCTTCAAGATTGGTTCCTAGACCTCACTATCTCTACTATACTTTTGGAAGGAGACGCACACTTTGGGCTGTCAACCCTTGACCTGTATTAGTACTTGGACTCAGTCTCGGACTCGATCTTGGACTCAATCTCGGACCTGACTTCGGACTTGGTCTCGGACTCGATCTCGGACTTGATCTCGGACCCGATCTCGGACTCGACTTCAGACTTGATCTCAGACTTGGTCTCGGACCCGATCTCAGGTCTCGAACTCAATCTCAAACTCAGTCTCCGAATTGGCCTCAGGCTCGATTCTGGACTCTATCTCGAACTCGGTCTCAGAGTTAGTCTCGGACTCAATCTCAAACCCGGTCCGAGATTGAACTTTGAATCAGAATCAACTAACTCATGCATTTGGTAGTTCTTAACATATAAAAGATAAACTGATTCCATAAATATATAAAGAGTTGGAAAGTTCCAGCACTTTAAATGTTTTATTTTTACAAATAAGATAAATAAGTAGCAACCGTAAATAGAACTACAACCGAAGCTTTTGCATAGCGTAAACATGTTTTTGTGTGAGTAACAAAGACTGACTTGAAATAGCATCACGTTTTTATTATAATCATGCAGTATTCAGATCTCCAATTCTAACCATGCTTTGAGCAGTGGTCGATATAAAGCGTTCAACACTGAGGAATTCAAGTTGCTCCGGAATCTTTTGCGGATCTTAATAACATCAGAACCATTGGCTGCATTTACCCATGGCAACGGTACATGGAGACAGTCAAGTGCCACGTACACCAAGCTTTCTAAATCAGAATGGATTCTTGGAGTTTGACTTCCAGAGAAAAAGCAAGAACCTGCATACAGAACAATCAGTTACCGAACTCGAGAAAAAAAGTTAAGTACCTGAATAAAGCCAATCAGGTATATTTGTGGGATGATCAATATCAGGAAGCCGGCTTGCTAATCCCCAGTCAATAAGTCGGTAACATCCCTTTTCGTCTTGGCAGATGTTGCGGGGTGCAACATCATTGTGCAAAATCCCATGCTCACCATACACATGAGAAAGTACCATATAAATGGCCTTTGTCATATTGAAAACGTCCTCAGGCGTCATCCTGTCTGTGTTGATTTTCTGTCCCGCATCTTCCAAGAGTAACGCCGGAACCCCCCTCCAGACTACTGCCCTCGCCTTCACAGAGTCCTCTGGACACAGATACTGACGAATTAAAAGCTCTCGCTGAACCTGCTTGTACCGGTCACCTACTGTTGCTGCTTTAATCCAGGCTTTCAATCCCGATCCATGGATTGTCACGGGGAATAGATACCGGTGCTCTACCTCAGCTACCTCAGCCTTAACCGGCTGAACTAGCTGTTCTTCATCAACACTTACTTCCATTCTCTCTGCTCTCAACCCTGCAGCACCACTAACATCACATTGAAGCAGACTCTGTGGCAGGAACCCGGCTTTAATCAGAGCAATAACTAGCTCTTTGAGGACTTGATCGACGCCCCTTGAATCCATATCTAAACTCCTGGCCTCTCCTATCTTTATGTCGCTACTCTCCAAGATTTTCAGTACCCGGCTGGCGTTGAAATGATCTTCGGATTTGGTGGAGTAAGTTCGGCGGACGATTGTAACATGCACGCCGTTGACAAACCCGCTCTGAACCTGTTGAAATTGCCTTTCCACGTGAACTTCGCCAATTTGGCCTCGAGCCTTTTGCAGAGGCTCACTCTGATTATTGTCGCTGAGAACAATAGGTTGCTTTTTCTTGCTTATGGTTTTGTTCTCCTCACTTTCGTTGCTTTTCTGGTCAGACAACAACACCCTGTTTTTCTTCGCCCTGGTCTCCTCCTGAATGTCATCACCCTGCCGCTTCAGATTCTTCATCTCTATTAGGAACTTGCACCTCAAACTCGACCTTTCGACTTCAACCTCTAGCTTCCCGTTTGATGTGTGAACTGGGGCCAGAACCTTCAACGAAATTGTAGGCAGACCTTTGTCTTTGTCAAGGACCCGAAAGATACTTTCCAACAGCGCTGCAAAACAAACGCCATAGGCAGCGTAGTGTTTGACTCTGACCTTTGCGTAAGTCTCATCACAGGCATACATGCTCTTCCCTGCATTCAAGGACAAGGATTTGTAGCAAAGAAGAAAGAAGAATAGAAAACAGTACCAAGCTGATCAGGCTCCGTAGCTTCCAGATATGAAACTTGTAAATGTTCAAAGCCTCTTCCCTTATAGTCTGCACAAACATCTCTTTTGATCTGGTCCCAGCCTTTTTGGATTCCCTCTTGGTTGAGTTTGTCGAGCACATATCGACCTCCAAACGTGGTTTGGCTCCTATGGAACTCTGATGCAACTATGGAGACAAAGTTTTAAACAAAACAAAAAATAAACAAACAAACATACCGAGCTGCTTGGGCAGAAATGATCTCCACCGTATTGCATGCAAATCAGTATTGCCACGCAGGAGTTGATGCAAAGGATTCCACTTATCCAGCACAAGCTTGTTGAAGTCAGCAGCTTCACTGTCAGAGAACTTCTCCATGTCGGAAATGGTATGAGCATTTTTTATGACTGTTTCTATCCTCCTCCTCTCCTCTTCTTCTTTTTCCATTCTTTTCTTATCCAACTCCAACTCGAATTTCCCTTTCTTTAACTCCAATAACTCTTTCTCAAACTCCAATTTCCTTCTCTGAAACTCTTTCTCAAACTCCAATTTCCCTTTCTTTAACTCCAATAACTCTTTCTCAAACTCCAATTTCCTTCTCTGAAACTCTTTCTCGAACTCCAATTTCCTTCTCTGAAACTCTTTCTCAAACTCCAATTTCCTTCTCTGAAACTCTTTCTCAAACTCCAATTTCTGCTGCTTCCACTCCGCTCGATTCTGTTTCCACCATTCAGCTGCAGATGCCATCAAGGTTGGCTTTGGCTGCTCAGTGCAGTACTCCTGTGGCTGGAGCTTACCAGGGCCTTCTGTGAGATACATTGTCAGCGCCATGATCTTCTTCTCATCTACAATATAGCCCTGATCTACCCACTTGTTAATTGCCTCTAATGCGTCATCCATTTTCAAGAGCTTAAACCCAATCGCCGCCGCTGCCCCTGGTCCAGCTGCACCAATGCCGAGCTCTTTGCCCTAAGCGAAGAACTGGCTTTATTTAGTGGCTATAATGGGCTGCGTGGAAAGTTTGTGCTCATCCAGCGGATTTTGCGGATTTTGCGGATTTTGAACAAGGACACGTTGTGGAAGCCTTCTTGCAAAGCCATATATCAATGACCCGGGCTACTTCTCGAGAGTGCTCAAAGCAGCGTTTGACAACCTCTCCCAAAGGTTGATTTTTAATTTATTGTTTACTAATTACTACCTGTACTATTTCCATGTGCAGAAGGCCAGGAAATCCGCAGCATCATTTAGCTGCAATTTCCCCAGGACACCTGTTGAAACAGGACGAGTTCAGGTATGTCATTAGTGCAACAAGTAAACTTACTGATCTGCATCAATGAAAGAGGCCACAGAAAACCATTGGAGTTGCCTGCGGATATCCAGGAAGCGCCTTTTCAGCTTTTCTAGAAGAACCTGTAATGGTATCTCCAAACCTTGCATCAGCGACTGAGCGAAGATGCCCCACCTTTCACTAGCCATAAATTTTACTGATTCTCCTTGACGCAAGCTCCCATCTACGGCTCTAAAGTACGTGATAACGCTGCAGTAGGGATTGTAGTAACTGCAAAAACAAAAAGGTAGTCATGCAAATGAGAAAAACCATTTTCAACCTGTCAAAAATGAGAGCTCTACTTTCCTATTGATGCAGATCAGTACGTCTACTTGTTGCACTAATGATATACTTGAACTCGTCCTGTTTCAACAGGTTTCCCGAGTTACGAGAAGCACTGGGGAAATTGCAGCTAAATGATGCTGCTTTAAGAGTATGGAGCCTTTTATAGCTTTTTGCAAAAGTTAAGCCAGATTGATCCCGAAAGAGTACATTGGCACTCTGATGGAGCTCGCAAGAAAGGCATGGAGAATTCAGAGAGATGAATTATATTACTGAAAATGCTTGTGTTGTTTATGATCTTCCTCTGGCTGAGGTACAGTACTTTCAAGCATTTTCTTCTGCTTGAATGGTCATTCAAGTCACATAGCAAGGGCTGCGCGAGCATGAAGTACTCCATTACCGTGTAGATCAAAAGCAGGCTGGTACTGAATCATACGTTTAATCATGCAGATATCGCATGAGCGATTGTCAAACTTGATATAAGAATCAATGGGGAGCCTGTGGAGCCGCTATCGGCAATCGTTCATAAAGATAAGGTATTTGTTCACTGTTTCTACTCAACATCGCAACTTAATCTCTCCATTTCGACAGGCGTACACCATAGGACGGGCTCTGACAGAGAAACTCGAAAGTTTGATTCCCCTCCAGCTCTTCAAAATACCAATTCAGGTGCCATCTTTCGTTTTCCATATTTTACAAAAACTCTAACCTGAGATGCGTGCCTTGGGTCTAGAGTCATTGTCAGTGAACAAATCTCAGCCATGTGCAAAGACGTGCTGGCCAAGTGCTATGGTCTGTGCTCTCTTTTCAACTCTTTGTACAGCTCTCAAAATCTTCCAATGCTGCAGGAGGAGACATAACGAGGAAGAAGAGGCTGTTGAAGAAACAAGTAAGTAGATAAGCCACTTGATACACAACTCATTTGTTCGATGCAGGCCGAAGGCAAGAAACGAATGAAATTGGTGGGAAGAGTGGAGGTTCCCCAAGACGCGTTCATGGCAGTGTTACTGGTTGAAAGAGAGATCCAGCACTGCCATGGACGTAATCTCTCCCAGAGTCCATGGAATGCTCCAGACAGCCGGTTGTGTGACAAGTTGAGCTCCCGCCAGCTTTCCCAAGCTTGCGGGAATCTCACCAGTGAGCTGGTTCGCCGACAAGTCGAGAAAGCTTGTGGTGTAATTGTGAGAGGTACAAAGAACAAGGTACTGGAGTGTTTCTCTCTAATTAAATCCAGAAATTTCCTACACAAGCATGCAATCTAGCGGACTAATCTTCTGGGGGGACAGTATTTTGCCGCAATCTCTGCAATAAGCTCTTCCTAAAGAACTTTAAACAGCGTTTGGCGCCAATTTTATGAAATTAGGATTCTTAAAAGTAAGCATATAGAATATTCTATCTTCTCCTTAGTTTGCCCTAATGCTATGGCGGATGTGCAAGCGATCGTCTCTCAACTCAATGCATCGCCGCTCTTCTACACGATCTCTCTTCTGGAATTTAGGTTTGCGGATTTGCGCTGAATCACTGCTAGACTATTCTTTTTTTATTTCTTTTCTTGAGCAGCCAAAAGAGTCCCCAGCAGCTGCGGCAGCTACTTGTCCGCGTTTTGAGCTACATCAGTCCCAGCCAGGTAACGCATCCATCTAAATGCCTATCGATTCATTCTTCTTCCAGAAGAAATGCTTGGAGAGCAATGGGCTAGAGGCGTCCACTGCTTGCATGATGGAGCTCTTGCGCTCCTATTATTTCCCCAACATGGATGCGTAAGAAGAAAATATTGTTTTCTACTCTTTTCGCTTGGATTCAATCGCTCCACTAATGCAGGATATCATTTCGTCAAGGTTTATCTTCCGGGAGCAGAGACGTGATTTATCCTTTGCTCTCATGGCTGCTTCCTCAGGTCATTTTCCATCTAAACAGTAATGCAAAGTGAGTTTTGTTTCTTCCTTTCTCATACTCTGACTTCTTTTTGCTGGTGGCTGCTTGGTTATTGTTTTCTAGATTGTGGTGTTTAAGAAGCACGTATACTTGTCACAATTTCTAAACGAAGTGGAGATTCCTGGAGAGCTTCTCTTGGACGAGGACTGCAACATCTTGCAAGCGCAGTGCGGAGCTCTGAGGGACCATTTCAAAGCCAACTATTGCCGGCTGCAAAGCCTCCAGGAGGCGCAGACGGAGAAAGACGTGGTCTCTTTGCGAGAAAACGTCCACAAACTAGAAGCCGAGAAAGAACACCTGTCTACAAAAGTCTCCAAACTGCGAGCCAAGCTCCAAGTAAGTCGTTCGCATCTGGTTTCTTTTCCCTCTTTCTCCTGCTGCTAGATTGTGCTTTGTTTGGTTTTGGCCAGCATGTAGCAAAGCTCGATCAAATCCTTGCATTGGTTGAGCAACACAGGGTCGAAAAGCTGGATGAGACGAACTTGGCGAACAATGTAAAGGAACAAAAGCGAGCTTTAGCTGCCGAGTCAGGTAGAAATTTAAATCATCCTCCTAGTTCCTTCCAAATTGGTCGATTGATTGGAACGATATGCCGCTCAGGGAAGCACGGGAAAGCACTGCTGAAGCTCGAGTACATGCAGGCCCTAGTGAACACACCACCTCCGCTCATGAGCGAAAGAATTGCTCAGGAAATATCAATGCTACGCTATCTCGCCGACACAAAACTTCCAAAGGTGGGGGGATTTATATCTTCCATTTTCCTGTTGATTTACCTTGTCTCTTCCAAACTCTTATTCAGGAGCTGGCAGACAAACAGCGACACAAAGACGCTCTTGACAAAGTTTTGAATGATCCTAACTACAGCGATGACAAAATCTCGCGAATTCAGGTACTCTTCGTTTTTTTCATCCTTTTTTGTTGCAATGGAGGTTCTTTCGACACAGGCAAAGCTTGTATCAGCAAACAACGAGCTCAAGTCTCTGAGGAAACGAAGCTGCCTGGAGAAGAGAAACGAGCTCTCCCCCGACGGCGACTCTGTGCAGTGGCAGCAGAGTGCTTTGGTCGCCGAGAGGCTCAAAGTAGCGTTTGACAAGGTCACGGCTCTCACAGCAAGAAAAGAGCAACTCATAGTCGACTTCTCCCAAAAGACCAACTTTATCAACGAGGCAAATATCTTTCTCTATTTGTTTACAATTTCGATTTTCTTTTTACCAACTTAGTTTCATCTGTTTCAGGTCAAAGGCACAGTTCTACGAGGAGAAGAACTCAAACAGTTTGTGGAATCACTGCGAGCGAAGAGCATCACGTACAGGACGATGAAAAAGGAGACTGACGACATGGCCACCGAGTTTGGAGCCTTGCGAAGAACGCTGCAAATTCTCCAGCACCAGGCCTCCTCCATGCCACACCCCGTCGTTCCTGGTAAATCAAACTAAACTCACAAGGCAAGAGCCAAAGCTATGTTACACGAACTGGAATGTTACAGGAATGCTGGAAGACGTGCTCGAGTCGAGCGGCGGGGACGAGGAGCTGGACAAGGCCATCGGCACGTTGACTTCGCTGCTGGCGGAGGTCAACGAGTCGCTCCGGGAGAACAAGGAGAAAGTCGCCCCCAGGGTCAAACTCCTGCAGAGCCTGAGGAAGACCAAGCAGGACCTGGAGATCGTCCACGCGGAAAAGAAGCGCCACCACTTGGAAGTCTCGTCTCTCTATGAAAGGTCGGATCCCAAGTCTCTTCCTTTTCTTCTTCCTCCTCGGTGGAGTAAAGACCTCTAAGTTTTTGTTTCGTCGCGTGCTGGTGATGTCTCTTAGGAAGCTAAGCAGGCTGCAAAACGAAGTGGAGTCAGTCCAGAGAGAGTTTGCACGGGAAAACAAGCTGTACCAGGACAAGTGCGCAGAGCTCGAGGCCGTGGAATCGTCCTTGGAAGAAGGCAAGCGCCAGCTTTCTTTCCTCTTAAACTCCTCGCGTCTTAACCTTTAACGTCCAGTCTCCAAGGAGCAGCAGGGATCGCTAATCAGCCTCGGACTCCGTAACGAGCTCCAGCGACAGGAGGAGTTGAAGTTCACGCTGGAGCAGCGGCAGCAAAGGCTGAAGGTGACACACATCAAACTCTGTCCTCCCTGTGTAGTCGAGTCTAGGAAGAAAGCTCAGCCCACGCCCAGTCTCTTCTTCCACGGCCATGGACCTCGCCTCTTTTTAAGTTTTAACTCGGGTGCTTGTGTTGTGTGCCGCGATGTAGGACGTGGAGCAGTACAATAATTTGCAGATGGCCATGATGAAGGACCTGGTGACACTTCTTTCTGCAAAGCTGAAGCAGTACTCGTCCGCGGCCAGGCCAGCAATCTATTCATCTGTCACGGCACTCGAAACGGTAAGTCAAAAGGGAGAAAAGCACCTGTGCCTTTGGTTACCTCCCTGGTACTGTGTTGCTCACAAAACAAGCTACTTTCTCTGTCTGTGTTTGTGTGAACTTCACAGGAGGCGGACGACAGGAGCCAGCTCTAATTTACGCCAACTTGATCCCATCCAAGGCGTCGCTTTTCCTGCTGATGCCGACTTCTCGTGAATGTCACTTCTATTCTATGCTTCTTCCTCCTCTCTGGCTACATTGATCTGTTAACTGCAAGCACCAGAGGCTTCAATTTAGAACGGAATCTGACCAAGTTGCTCTCAATCCAAACTGTAAATGATGTACCTGATTGATGAAGTGATTTAAGTTATGAGGCTTGTCTCGTGTCAGGAGCCAATCGCGCTTGTCAATGGCAGGGTACTGCAGCTTGATCCGTTATAAGTGCTCCATAATGAGAGGCCCTGATCATCTGTTGTAGTCACTTCTTCAGCCGCTGGCTCGGCCTGGTTTTCCTGCTGTTGCTGCTCCGATTGCTGGTTATTGGAGCCATCATCTTGTCCATGGAGACTTTCGCTCTGGAGAAACGTATAAGTCTCCGGCTGGAACGAGTATCGGGCATCCGGTTCCTCGTCTGGGACGTCACTACTAGATGGTTGGTACACCTCAGAAGCAGCTAGATAGTGACCACCAACGTCCATGCTCAGTTCCTGCCCGCTCGCACCAGACGTCTTTTCGACCATTTGCCTAAACATTGATGACTGGAGCAGCAGCCCCAGGGCCGTTGGCGACGCGTCCTTCTTTTGAGCTTGGTTGCTGTTGCTACGATGATTGTTATTGTCGTGATCGTAAGAAGCGAGGCCCAGCGATCCTAGTAGCGGAAGCTGCTGTTCTGCATAGTTGCCGGGTTGAATTGGTGGCCACAGTTGCTGGTTTGATGCTTCTTCTGCTCGGGGCATGCCTTGAAACTCCTCGCCGTCTGGTGCCACGGCCCCAGCTTTCGGCCTCAGCCAGCGAATGTATCGACTTAAATCGAAATTGGTTACTGCATTAAGGCCTCTGTATTCTATGGCAGCCATGTCATAGGCTGCTGCAGCTTCCTCTTGAGTACCTAAATGGAAAGCATGAATGCTGATTAGCAAGATAAACAGGATCCAATTTGTACTTACTGTACGTGCCAAGGTAGAGGTACTTGTTCCCGAACACGCGACCGATACGAGCTTCCCATCGTCCATTGTGGTGGTGCCTGTGAAAGCAGCGAAAGAGACGAGAAAAGCTCAATCTAGATATTTAAATAATGACCGGACAACGCAAGCACCTGGCCACTCCTCGGTACTTTGAAACACCTCTAGAGAACCCGCTGCTTTTCCTGTGCACAGAAAAACAAACTTATAGTCCGGTCAAGACAATGCTCAACCCCAAGCGTACCTTCTTAACGACGCAAGATACTCCTCCCTTGTGACACTCTGCATCTCGTCAATGTCTTTAGCGTAGTCTGTTACCTGCACAAATTACAAAAGGCTCTTCAGCTAGTATGCAATTTGTCAAACTGAAAGGCTTTTTACGGGGAAGTTTATAAGTGTGCCCGGACCCCAGTACTTGAGGGCAGCGAGATCGTAAGCTCTAGCAGCAGCCTCTTCATCGTCATAAGCTCCTACAAGAAAAGTTCAAGCACCAAAGAACTTTAGACAAACACCACTTGATAGCGAACTATAAGGGAGCAACGCGAAAGTACCTAGATAGACTGCACGCATCCATTGGCAAGTCCGAAGAAGCTGGTTATACATGTTTGAAACAAAGCTCGAGCTTACCTTGCTTGCCCTTCTTGTTTTGAGTATGATTCCAGGTACTTTTGTCCCATAAATGTGCTTCGTACCGACCCGTCCATCTGTGCCTGCAGCAAACGAGGAAGAAGAGAAACATTAAGAAACGAAATATTTGGAGATCGATCGGTGTAAAGGATATAGTACCTCGTGACACCTCGATAGATCGAGCTTCGCTTGCCAGCGGTGGGCGCGGGGATCTTGCACGACCTCTCCCTGCTGCTTGTTCCAGCCGGCCCTCTCTTTCTCTTCACCACCGGCGTCGACTGGGAAGATATTTGATGACCCTGTGGCATTTGCAGCTGCTGGCTAGCACCGGCAATGGCCGCCAAGACCTCGGCGGAAGGATCGAATTCGAGCCTTGAATGAACGCCGCTGTGATCGGCAGTGAGAGGCTCCTGGTTCTCGAAATGATCCAGGCGCCCTATCAGATTATGCTGCTCCAGGACGTGATCGCTCTCGAGTTTCGGCTGCTGCTGGAGCCGATCGCTATGAATTTGGAGCCATCCGGTACCTAGCGCCATCGGATCGGTGGAAATTTCGATCGATCTGCGAAGAAAGAAGGGAGAAAGGAGCAGCGCCCTGGATATTTCGGGCGAAACTCAGGAAAAGAATCGAAGCACAGCACGATGAAAATCTGCCGCGATGCGCCTTGCCAATGCCAATGCCGATACCGCCTGTGTGTTCTTCGTCTAGAATCTGTGATCAAAAGAATGAAACGGGCGAGCGCGAGCTTTGAAGAACTCGTCTTCCACGCGATTTTATACGCCGCTGGCGTGTTCTCCGATGCATCTGATCAGCGCGTTCCTCATCCAGTAGCCACATTGCCAGAGCTCGCCGCTCGGGGACAAGATCTGGCGATCTCACCACTGTTCTTCATCCCAGACAAAACACACAAAAACCCTAGCTTCGCCATTCGCGCATTCAAATAAAACTTCACTCCCGTCAGCCTCGCCCGTCGGCGTATTGGCAGCCCTGCTTCACTACGGATCGTATAATTATACGTAGCCGCCGCCTTACTTTGTCTCGTAGTTTACGGTTCCCATTTTTGTATTATAACATCGCTCTCCACACGCGCGGTACGCGCGATTTACGTTCGCTTTCACCTGTCCCGACTTACGGCGCCGGTCTTTTCACGCGCGTTACCCACAACATTATTACCACGCCGGATAGAATCTCCCGACGGCTTTACAAGCGCCGGAGGAGATCCGTCCGGCGATCCAATGTGTGTGGCTAGAAGATCATAGCTAAAGATATCAAATCTCTTTCTTTAGATTAAAACGATCAAAACGAAGATCGCCCCGCCTGCCATTGTAACAATTTTCTTACCAACGATACGAGCGAGCAAAGATTTATATCTAGGATCAAAGCGTAGGCGATGAAACGATCCAAGACTAGTGAAACTGAAAAGAAGCATGCATACCAAGAAAAAGTTCTGCCTAAAAAGTCGATCCATTCCAGCCAAAGTTGCTTCCCTGCAAGAAAATGGAGGACTTCAGCTTGAAATCTTTCTCTGGGAATGTTGGAATGTTGGAGGAGAGATTTTTAGAACCTTGACATCGTAGAATTTGATGTAGAAGCGATTCGGGGGCACTGCGAGCTTGGACTGGAGGAGCTCGGCTATGGCTTTGCTCAACTTCTTGTTCGAGTCGGGGGAGATTGCGCCGATTGAAACGAGCTCCCCGTATGCTGCTGGCTCCTCACTCCCTCCAAAAGAGATTGGCACAGCACCATTTATGATGATCATCACATACTGCACAAAAAACCAATGAGCCAAAGTTACATAAAAATCGAAATCAAATGCGAGTGAAGAACCCCAAAAGTGATGGAAATCTAGCCAAATCTCCCTGAGAATAATCGAAGGGATTGAAAACTCACACTCTCTGGCTTGCCAAGAACGCGCGCGACCGTCCTGCTAGCGTCCTTGAGAATATCCGATGTCGAGACGCCATCGAGCGGCACATTGGTGCTAATGTTGAGCGTCGGCATCCTGGAAGAGACGATTCAGCTAAAACCTAGCGCTGCGAGGGATTGGCTCGATCGAAATCTCGGTGCCGCGGCGCCAAAGATGCCCGCGAGCGAGCGAGGAGCCAAAAACCACGAAAATGGATCAAACAGACCTAGATTTCGCGTCTTCCGTAAAATGCGCCAAGCTCCTCTCTCCTTTGACGTTTAATACTCCCGCGGGCGGCTTGGACGGCCCCATCCGCTGGCTATTCCGGAGATGGAGCATCCGACGGTCGTGCCAGGTCACCACATTCTGTGCTGGTCGTTGGAGACACTGTATGAATTACATGGTCGATGGAAGAGTGGCCAAGTTCTCTGTACCAAAAATATGGATATGCGAATGCGAATGGATATCTTAAGATGCTCGAGCGTTCTTTTACCGTACGCGTGCATATTCTCGAGCATATTACCGGAGCACTTCCAGCATATATCCTGCTAGATGATGAAGAGATTCGTCCATGCAAGCTAAGCTTGCCGGGAGCATAAAGCTCCACGGTGACTCACGGCTCTTGTCGGAATGTACGAAACTGTACGACTGGATATCCAGGAGTGACCACCGCCATGATAGATACCTCGCCAACTTAATGATTGAAATGTTTGGCAAGTGTGGAAGTCCCAAAGATGCCCGCAGTGTCTTTGACTCCATCAACGGGCCCAATGCTTACTCTGTAAATATGATAATAGCGGCATATGCCCAAAGCGGGTATCTTGACGACGCAAGTGGTATCTTTTTTAAAGCCTCGCAGAAAGATGCCGTAACATGGAACACTATCTTGGCAGGAACTGCGAGACGTGGGAGTTGTTTTCAAGCGTCTAAGATCTTTGAGAATATGCCAGAATGGGATTCCTTGGCTTTCAATGCCATGCTGATGGCATATGCCCGGGCTGGAAATCTGGATCTTGCAAAGATTCTCTTTGATCAGATGCCGGTAAGAATTCTATCCTCGTGGAACATTCTACTATCCTGCTATACTGTGCACGGCAATTTGAATATGCTCGAAGGTTTCCTAGGCAAGATGCCACAACACAATGTTCTGGGATGGAATTCTTTGCTGTTGCGTTATTTCCAGTCAGGAGTCTTGTCACAAGGTAAAGGAACGTTTGATTCTATGCTGGAGAGAGACAAAGATTCCTGGATCTATCTCGTCAGAGGATACATCCAAGCTGGAATCTTGGAATTTGCAAAGATCGTATTACAAAAGATGCCAGAGCACTGTCTCCATTGCCTCACAACACTGCTTTCTGCCTATGCCGCTAACTCCTGTACATTTGAAGCCAAAACCTTGTTTGATCAAATGCTGTATAAAGATGGAATTGCCTGGAACTCAATTCTTTCGGCATATTCCCAGAGCAGACACCCTTTTGCCGCCAAAAGCATCTTCGATTCCATGCCTGGATGGGACACGGCGTCATGGAATATACTAGCCGTGGCTTATGCCGAGAATGGGCATCTAGACGATGCCTGGAATGTCTTTACACTGAGAAAAGAGCGTGACCTGGTGTCATGGAATTCAATCGTCAATGCGTATGCTCAGAGAAGCAATGTACACTTCGCACTAGAGGTATACGGGAGATCCCCGGGATGGGATTCAGTATCATGGAACATTCTCCTCCACGGTCTCGTACGAAACGAGGAGTTCTCGAAAGCAAAGCTTGTGTTTGAGAGAATGCCGGAGCGCCAAATCATGTCTTGGGAGTGTGTGATTACAGTATTTTCGAAAGCCCTCTTCGACAGAATGCCCAAATGGAGTGTTCTCTCTTGGACGGCTCTTATTACCGCATATACCGCGAAAGGGCATATCAAAGAGGCGGAGAGAATCTTCTACGAGATGCCGCAGCGTGATATTGTCGCATGGAACGCTCTACTTTTTTCTTCATTACAAAGTTACCATGTAGAAAAAGTGGAGAGATGTTTTGAAATGTTACCAAAACACGACACTTTTTCTTGGAACACTGTTCTTGCTGCGTATGCCCAAAGTGGGCATATTAAAACAGCCAAGCTTTTGTTTGATACGAGAATGCCCTTCCACAATGCCTCTGGATGGAACACTTTAATCACTGCCTATGCCCTGGCGGGTTCGGTTTTCCAAGAGATTCTATCCCTCTTTCGATCCATGCTCCAAGGGGGCGTTCGAGCATCGCAACCCACATTCGTGGCAATCCTGGCAGCTTTCAGCCACGCCGGGCTACTCGATCCGGCAATCCAGTGCTTCTACTGGATGATATCGGATCACTCGATCGAACCGGCGCTGGATCACTACTGCTGCGTCGTGGATCTCCTGGGCCGAATTGGGATGCTCGAGCAATCGGAGGATCTCCTCCAAAACATGCCCTTTCTTCCCAGCGACGTGGCGATGAACACGCTGCTGGGCGCGTGCCGGATCCAGGGAGATGTTGGATGCGGCGATCGCAATGCAGGAGAGCTCTTGCGATTGGATCCAAAATCATATGCTCTTCTTTCAAACCTCTATGCTACTTGATTTGGAGCTTCCCAAAACGTGGGATCACCGTCCGATCCGTTGTGCTCGAGCGGTCCGATCGATCTTGACCGTGGGTGGCCTTTGAGAAAAGAATACATGGCTGGAAAGAAAGCGTGTTTGCTGTGTGTCTCAATTTTCAATGTTTTTCGCGTTGAATCGTGGAAGAGCTATCGCAACGCGCGCCGCGCGCAAATATTTCTTGATTCGTGATTGATCTCTAGAGGAGATCAATGGACTCCGGGCAAAAGAGGCTCCAGGAGCTGGGCTACAAACAGGAGCTCAAGCGATCTCTCTCGTAAGTATACTTCATTCCCGAAATTCACAGGGAGACACGATTGTGATTCAATCCAATCTGTGTTCTTGCAACCAGGGTTGTCTCAAACTTCGCATTGTCCTTCGCCATCATCTCAATTCTCACAGGCGTCACGACTACGTACAACACGGGTCTTACGTACGGAGGCCCTGTTTCGATCGTCTATGGCTGGATTATCGTCAGCTTCTTCACTATGTGCATTGCCCTCTCCATGGCGGAGATTTGCTCAGCGTATCCCACCTCTGGAGGTCTCTACTTTTGGAGCTATAGCCTTGCCGGCCCCAAATGGGGGCCATTTGCTTCATGGATCACTGGATGGTATAGTTGATTTTTTAATTTCTCCCTTCTTCCTGAAAAAATGGAGTAAAACTTTTCCAGGTTCAACATATTTGGACAGGTCTGATGAGAAATTTTTAATCAATTTCTTAAGGTCGTCACCATTGTTTTTCTTGTTTGTTCTTTATGGATGTGGAATTTGGAGTAGTGGGCGACGACCACCAGTGCCAATTTCTCAATGGCGATACTTGTCCAAGTGATTATTCTGCTCGCCACCGGAGGGCGAGATGGAGGATACTACGCTTCCAAGTACGTGGTCATTGGATTCCATGGAATTTTCTTGCTTATGCATGGCCTGATTAATAACTTGGAGATCAAGTGGGTTTCTCGCTTGGGAACGCTGGCGGTGATATGGAATTGCATTGGTAAGTGGAGATAGTTTCACATCACTGGTGAATTGCTTTGCGATATCACAGGAGTTTTCCTCATCACCATTTTGGTCCTCGCTGTTGCTCCGGAGAGACGAAGTGCCAAGTTCGTATTTTCGTACTTCTACAAAGACAATGGAAGCGGCATCGGGAGTAGCCTCTACGTCTTCGTCGTGGGCTTATTGATGAGCCAGTACTCGCTGATCGGATACGACGCATCAGCTCACATGGTAAAGGGATTCCACGAATCTCTCTGGAATAATCTCGCTTTCTATCAGTCTGAGGAGACCAAGTCCGCGGACAAGAACGGCGCGTACGGAATCGTCAGTGCGGTGGGAATTTCGGTCGTGATCGGCGCCATCTACCTTCTCGGCATCACATTTATCATCACAGACGTGGATCATGTCTTGAGCCTAGACAACGATGCAAGGGGATATGCCGTGGCCCAGGCGTTCTATGATGCCTTTAAGATGCGGTACGGAAGCGGCGGCGGCGGCATCGTGTGCCTCGCAATCGTGGCCGTCGCCGTCTTCCTCTGCTGCATGAGCTGTGTGACAAGCAACTCCAGGTAACGTATGTATGGAATGATTATTCCGTGATTATTCTAACCGAATAATCTCAGGATGGCATACGCTTTCTCCCGGGATGGAGCCGTACCGCTGTCGCGCCTGTGGCACAAAGTCAACAAGCGGGATATTCCATCCAACGCCGTCTGGCTGGCGGTCGTGGTGTCGTTTTGCATGGCTCTTCCAGTAAGTAAAACTTCTCTTTTTAACTTACAAGTTTTCTACACATCTACACACGCAGTACTTGGGAAGCTCCGTGGCATTCCAAGCGATGGTCTCAATCGCCACCATTGGATCGTGCATCTCTTATGCACTGCCCATCCTCTTCCGGGTAACTATTGCCCGTAATTCTTTTGTACCGGGCCCCTTTCACCTGGGTAAATTCCTTGGCCTGGTGACGGGCTGGATCTCCGTGGTGTGGGTGGCCCTCATCACCGTGCTCTTCTGCCTCCCTATCGTCTACCCCGTCACCAGTAAATCCTTCAATTACACGCCCGTCGCTGTGGGGGGAGTTTTCACATTTACCATGACTTACTGGCTCCTCAGCGCCCGATACTGGTTCCAAGGGCCAGTCTCCAACCTGGGCTCATCCCCACTTTATTAAGCCCAAATGGTGCTTTTAAAAAAAAAAGAAAAAAAGATGCGGCGACTATTTAGGTCTAAAACACCGAAGAACCCTAAAGAGCCTGTGAATGGAGCGGCGAGGGAAGCGGCCGCGCTCCGCCTACCGCGATGAGGTTAGTGATTCTTCGCTGGCCAAAGATCTGCAAAGGGATAGTGAGATTTCTAGAGTCCGCCGCGGGAATTAGTGCATCTAGCATTCTAAAACGTCCAGACATGACACTTGGGGGAATTTGGCAATTTTTTTTCTTTTTGTGTGTGTAGGAGGCCCAGCCCTCATCATATGTTAGTCGGCACCACAAGGAGCAGAGAGCTAACTATAACGGGTTCCATAGCGATACTCTTGCTGCTTCGCCTCCCTGGCGTGAAGATGACAAGGATGGTCACTACGTTTTTGAGCTGGGAGAGAACATTACACCTCGCTGTAATTTTTTTTTCTTGCGTTTTTTACGTTTCTTTTACGCTTTTTTTTTCCTTGGGTCGAGCCTTTAGCTGCGTGATCCTTTTGCTTGTCTTGTTTGTTTCCCCGCATTCTAATGCGAGCTTTTTTCTTTTGTGTGTTGCAGACAAAGTCATCAGCAAGATGGGTGAAGGTGCTTATAGTTTAGTTTCCTTTCTCGTTGTTTACCAGAGTAAATGCAGGTACTTTTGGTCGCGTTTTGGAATGCTGGGACCGGAAGTATCAGGAGTTTGTGGCCGTTAAAGTTATAAGAAACGTCCCAAAATACAGAGAAGCCGCTCTGATTGAAATCGACGTTCTAAGAGCACTTCGAAAGCATGACAAGAATGGCAAACGGTAAGCTCGCAACTAAGCATCATAAAGTTCTTAAAGCCTTCGTTTGCAGTGGCTGTCTTCAGATGAAAGAGTGGTTCGATTACCGGAATCACGTCTGCATCGTAAGTTTCTCGATTTTTTTTTGTTTTCCTACCATCATCTAAACTTACTGGCGAACTTAGGTGTCGGAAAAGCTTGGGCCGAGCCTGTACGATTTCCTGAAAAAGAATAGCTACCGGCCATTCTCGATAGAACATGTCCGTGATATTGGCTGGCAGCTTTTGAATTCTGTAGCATGTATGCCGCGTTTGATGTTTTCGTTTATAGCTCCCGTGTTATTGATGCACTGTTGTTTGCTTCCTGTTTTAATAGACTTACATGAGCTATCTTTGATTCATACTGATTTAAAACCGGAGAACATACTGCTGGTCTCTTCGGCATACGTGAAGACACTCGACTACAAGGTAGTGCATTTTGTTAGATCGTTTCTAGTAATATTAACACTTTTTCCGTTACAGTCTGCTCGACCGGATAAACATTTAACCAGGACACCGACATCAGCTGAAATAAGGCTGATAGATTTTGGGAGTGCGACGTTTGAAAACCAGCACCACTCGTCCATAGTGTCGACAAGGCAATATAGAGCACCCGAGATCATCCTGGGTACGTTGGCTGTTTCCTTTGCTTAAGTGTTATCTTGACAAAACATATTTTCTAGGCCTTGGATGGTCGTACGCGTGTGATTTGTGGAGCGTTGGTTGCATCTTAGTGGAGCTTTTCTCGGTAAGAAAACTGCAAAGTCCATTGATTCCAATCTTATATTTCTTGGCTGCTTCCAGGGAGATCCACTGTTTCAGACTCACGAAAATCTCGAGCACCTTGCAATGATGGAAAGAATTCTCGGTCCCATTCCCAGACGCATAATCGATAACGTAGAGTAAGTCGGATTTCTACTGGATCTGTAAACCTTCCACGGTGCTTTGTGCAGTAGAAAAGCTCAGAAGTACTTCAAAAACGGGAGGGAACTAAACTGGCCCGATGCAGCCTCTTCTCTCGAGAGTATCCGGACAGTGAAAAGGTTACCACGGCTCAAGGTAGTGTACACATTGAAAAATAAAAACTCCTTCCCGTTCATGTCTGTGTTTTTCCCTCAATAGGAGCTTGTACAACTGCATGTCGAGCACTCTGCCAGTTCCTTGACAGACTTGCTCGAGGGTCTCCTTAGATATGGAGCCTCCGATCGGCTGACAGCGAAAGAAGCTCTAAGACACCCGTTCTTCAAGGAGCGAAGATAAGCTTTGGTTCGCTGGACGAGCTGCTGCTTCACGAGAGGCTGAAGTCCGCTCCTATGGGAAGATGATCGCTGGGGTGGAAATGGTTTGGGAGGCCTTCCTCGACGTCTGGAGGCACCTCTAAGATCGTTTTTGGTCTCATGGACGCCGAGGGACTGAAGAAGATGTAGTCCAGTGTTCCTTTGAAATTCGGGCTCCAGTTCGTCAACGCTGGCTCGCCTTGTACAGCAGCGTACAGGCTGTCGAGTGGGATCGCTGGGACTTTCAAGCTCTCCAAGTCGGGCACCTTGAAACTCGAGAGCTCGACGTCGGGGCCGGAGTTGCGACGCCCGGAGGTGATATAGTTGTACACCTGAGAAGAGAGAAGACGGCATAAAAGTTTGTTCCATTTTCCAAGCTTTGAATGAAACACTTTACCCGATCACCTGGAGTGGAGTTGAAATCCCCTGCGACTAGAACGACAGGATTGGAGTTGAATTCTTGAGATATCTCCTTCTCGAACTGCGAGAGCTTTGCAAGCAGGTACTTGGCTTGTGCGAGCTTCACGTCTTGCAGCGCTGGATCCCTGGGAAAGAAAAAGGATATAAAGAAGAACTCGGCAGAACTATCTTACCAGTATAGGTGCGTGTTTGCAATCACAACGATGTTGCTAGGCGCGTGATTGAAGCGAAAGGCCGAAAGAATTCCAACACAGTTCCTTCGAAAGCGCACGCGTGGATCGCTCACATC